CTAGTTGGCTGATTCACGTCCAAACGAACGTGACACAATGCTCAAACGGGACATCCTGTCACATTCATTTAAACCTAATGTCACGTTCCTGGGATGACAGTGTGAGCTCTTGTACGCTTAAGGAGGGCGCGCACACACTGTGCGCCACGAAAGGCGGAACACTAGGCCTTAGTGTTAGAAGTGGTCGTCCCCTGGTGTTTCCAAGCATGCAACTACAGTTGCGTGCGTGACAGGCATTCTCTAGCCTACTAGTCACTAAGTGCTTACAAGCATGCTCTTGCAACTGGATGCGGGGAACGCAGTTCAGTTAGCCAACTTATAAGTTGTGCCACAATGTTTTAATAAAGTTCTGTGTTTTACGCTTTGAGTACTTACACGTTGAAGAATGCAGCTCATCTGCTTTCGGTAGGTAGTCAGTATTGTAATGCAGCTGGGATCGTAGCCCGTGGAGACGAAGTAGTTTCCTAGCTCTGCGACCATTTCAGCCTCAGAACGTCTACTGTACCCCTTGCCATCCTGGATACAGACATACATAGTGGGAGTTTACTTCAGCACAAGCTTCTACCATCCTCGTTAAGTTAGGCGAAGGTGGAACTTCCTACCAAAAGGAAATAACAACACTGCCAATCTAAGTGTGAGACAGTCTCTCACTTGTAGGTATGGGACATTTTGTCTCACGCTTGCAAGTGTGAGACACAGCTTGGCTCACACTTACTGCCTATGTTAGCTCTGTGGTTCAATGCCACAGGTCCCACGCATGCAAGTATACACGGTAAAAACGGAACCTGGTTTGCCCAGGAAGCCAATGGTAAAGGTATAGGCAATTTCCAGGAGGTTCCCAAGAAAACCAGGAACCGTTTTTACCGTGTAGAACAAACCGTGTCTCACACTTACAAGTGTGAGACATCGGTGGCTAACACTCGCAAGCGTGAGACAAACGTGGCTCACACATGTAAGCGCCAGACAAAATGTCCCACTGTCTTACACTTGGATTGGCAGTGTGCAGTCATGATTGTCTAAGATCAGCTCTAGCAGTTTGCATTGTCTTGGATCTGCACTGCCAATGAGGATTATTCTATAGGACGCGTCGACTAGCAGCGTTCTCACCTGCTGCTCCGGCGCGCTGGTGCTGTGGAAGAACACGGGCACGCGCAGGTCCACGCCGCGCACGCAGGGCCGCTGCAGCGTGCCGGGGTGGTCGGCCAGCGTCGGGTAGATGGGGCGCACCAAGTCGCAGACCTCGGGCCGCATGCGCCGCTGCTCGTTCAGCATGGGGCAGTCCGCGCCGTTCCGGACGAGCCGCTCGAACAGCGACAGGTCCAGGTGGTGGGAGTCGGCCAGCGGCTGGCAAGCGCAGCTGGGCCGGAGCTGCTTGTGGTCGCCTGCGTCCGAGGGGGTACTTCAATAAATCGTGCACAGACCACTCTGTAATACGCGGTATTACGGAGATATTGCACGTGTATTACGGCCTTTAAAAGCCCAAATTTGGTACATTTAGCCCAAAAAAAGTTCCGCCAAGGCAAGCTTAGCAAAGCGGTCTTGCCGTGGACCGGCCGGGGAGGCCGGGCAGAGAGGGGGCAAGGAGGGAGGGGGTGGCTGTGAGGAGTGGGGACTGGCGCGGCGAGGCGGCGTGGCGGCGCAGGCGACGACGACAGACGACAGGCGAACCACGACCATGCAGTCCCCTCCGAGCGCGCTGAATGGATGGATGGGTGGATGGATGGGATGGGATGAGTGGGATCGTATGCAGAGCTAGAAGCGGTAGCAAGACCGCTTAAAAATGGTATTTCGTTCTCGTGAAGTACGCGTAACACACGATTTTTGTGTACAGAGTTTTACGCGAGTGTTTACCCCCTCGCCTGGATCAAGTAGCTCTACACGTTACACGGCCTGTTGCATTGAGTCCTTCACACTGCAGATGCAGCCAATAGCTTCTTGAATTTTCCTTTTGCTCGAACAGCGCAGGTCCAGGGGGTGGGAGTCGGCCACGGCTGGCAAGCGCAGCGGGGCCGGAGCTGCTTGTGGTCGCCTGCATCCGGGGGGGTACTTCAATAATTCGTGTACAGACCACTCTGCGCGGCGACCCGAGGAGGGCGCCAAGCCGGGCCGAACTGGGAGGCATGTGGGAGGCCACTAACTTCAGAAAAAGAAATTCCCTGACACCCTGACCTTAATTTAACTTTCCCTGACGAAATGTGCACAATACGTACAAAAAAAAGTAGTGAAAAGGATGGATTATGTACGTTGCTTGTATGCACTTAAAGTAATTTTTGACGCGAGCGAAGCGAGCCAAAAGTCAACGCATTTTATTGACGAAAATTTGATTCCGAGGGTCCCTAGTTGGCCTTTAAATACGTTTTCTGCCTACACTTAAAAATCAGTGTCCGACAATTTTCCCTGACAATTCCCTGCACTGTTAAAAATAGTTGTCTTAAAACAACAACACAGTTACCAACCTCGACAACGCTGTTGTTTGTGAACAAGTTTGCTTGTTTTGAAACGACGAATTCGTTGCTAATTTTTTTAATGACTTATGCTTTTTAAAAACAATATTTTGCTGCGTAAAAACAACCCGGACAATCGAAGAAGGGTTACTGCGGGAAAACCCGGGACTCTACTAGACTGTGACCTAATCGTCAAAAAAAATTTGATGCAAATAAGGCTGTCTATTTTTTAAAAACATCTTGTGGACGAACGACGCAACTCTTTAGTAAACAACAAAAGTCATTTGAAAACAACTTTGATCGCTAAGAAAATTAGCAACATATTTACTGCTAAATTACAACATAATTTTATTTATTTCCCTGACTTTTCCCTGATTTCCCTGACACGTGGCCACCCTGGCATTGTTAATTGTAGCATTTTCGCGCAGCTGCGGCGCGGGCCCAGACAGACAGCCTCACGTATCGTCCCGCCCCGTCCTGGTCCCGTTCTGAGAGTACAAGCTGACACCTTACAGTGTCCTGTATTCCTGAATTATGTTGAGTTCACTCTCAGCCGTTTACTGACTATTTCTCATTAGCAGACGTATTTCTGTAAGCAACCATAATACTTAGTATTTAGTTCTTAAATACTTAAAAATTTCTTTGTAATTTACAAAGAAAACGGCAATATCAGTACAGTAATTAGTAATTGCTAAGTAATACTGACAAATAATACTTAGTATTATGGTTGCTTACAGAAATGCGTCTGCTAATGAGAAATAGTCAGAAATGGGCTGAGAGTGTTGAGTGTGTAAAGGTATCATCTGCTGAAAACAGGGCGCCAAACGCAGTTTTGTCCACTGCTCAGGACTGGGTCGACCTAGGACCTTCAAAATTTGTGGACATCTTCCTCTACCTAGGGGCACATATAGTAAAATTTTGAAACGGATCGCTGATATTGAAAAAAAAATTGTGCTTCCTAGATATGAAATCACTCACTTGGAAACGTATACCCGAAAATACATGCTTTCGAATGAACACTTGCAGCCATGTACAGTCTCAAAAGGGTACATAGTTTTCTTCGGTGGACGCAGGGCCGTAGCTTAGCTATGTAGATGCGACATACGACTGTGATACAAAGTGCAACTCTAATTTGACCTTGGCCAACAAAACAACATACTGGTTTGCCCGGTGGGCTGCAAGAAAGTTCCAAATTTTGCTTGAATGTTCCTCTTGGTAAATGCGATGCCTTGACTTCAACGAATACCGCTGCCTTGCATATGCTGCATTGCAGCAAGCAGGTTAGGATTCGACACTTACCTATCTGTATGACATGCTCAGTTGTCCGCGGTATAGAGGCCAGGACATAACCCTCCGGGGCTTCACAGGCTTCCTCCACGATCACTGTAAACAGAGATAGCCGAGTCAAGCGCTTGTTCCGTAAAATAGTGTGTCCAGAGGGATCGGATCGCACTTCTCAGAATTTCAACGTCAAACCACTTGTCTTTTTCGAGGATACTTTCAACTCAAGAGCATATTTTGCCGTCGCACATAAGAAGCCTAACTCTAAACGTCTTACGAAGAAATTTCGCAATGTACGAAGGAAATGGCGCAAGCTTAATACGAAGGTAGATTTTCTTCTATAACGAAGGTTATCCTTTCATTCAACAAAGACAATAGTAAAACAATTCTTAAGGAATATTCGGAAGGAATATCGCTTCGTAGAGTGCTTGCGCCGAATTTACCGTAACATAGCTCAAACTTCATTGGAAGACATTTTCAATGACATTTTCATAGAATGACACCCAATTGTGAAAAGAAGACACCCTTATCAAGTGTAGAGAAATGGTCTATTTCTAGTGCAGAATACAAGAGGGCAGCCACTTGAAATTTTTTTCGTACACAGGATTCTTTGAAGGTAGGGATTTCGCCAAGATTGCGCAGGATTTTGCCTCAGAATTATGCTACATTTCGTGAGATTTCACCAGATTTCAAAGGGATTTCACCAGATTTCGGACTATTAAGGGCACACAGGATTTCGCGAGTGGTTTCCACATCGGTGGAACACTTCACCGTCGGGCATGCGGAGATTCCAGTCTCCACACTCCAAGAGCTGAGTCGCTCAGGCCCTACCTCTTAGCATAGTGCAAGCGTTAAGAACTGCCAAAACTGTATTTCCAAGTGCAGAGACTGCAAATTCCAGAGCCCCGCATTGAGCGCTCTCATTAGAGGAACGTGACATCATGCTCCTTTGAACATTCTGTTACAATCGATTGAAAACAAAATTACAAAAGAAGTAAGGCTGATGCGCATCTAAACGAATGTGGCACGATGCTTAAGCAAATAAGACATTTTGTCACCTTCGTTTCAGCCTGATGTCACGTTCCTGGAGTGAGAGTTAGTTTCACAGCGCAGTTTGCCACAGGCCCGCAAGGCACATCGGGCTACACGACAAGAGAAGATACAGACCTATCTTGATGTCCAGCTTGTCCAGGGCGGAGCGCATGAAGGCCGCCCTGGTGGTGGTCATGGCGAGGATGTCGGCCAGCTTCATCAGGGACCTGCGCACTGGGAGGCTCAGGGCGGCGTCGTAGCGCTCCTGCAGGACGCCGTAGACGGTCCGCTCGTGCATGTTCGAGTAGCCATGGATGATCTGAAGACACAAGAAGATTTTAGCGGAGTTTCAGAAATATAGTATGGTCGAGCTGTTCCCTGTAAAAATTTTGCTTGTCACTTGCTGACAAGTCCAAGGGTAATTTTCCTTAGCATGTCACCAAAACATTTGGTGGAATAGTAGTCACGTCACAACCATGCAATAAGTACAGGAGCTTTGGCAAAAATGTGAGATGACATTGTCATCGTTTACAAGTCATGAAAATGTCATCCGCAATGTTGTCATAAAGTGACGACAAATTTTTGCAGTGTTACACTCAAACACTACACTTCCTGCATAAAATGTACACAGTGATGCATAATATTATACATAACATATGGACGTATCTGTGCATGCATAATTATGCATAAAAAAGTCCATAAGAATTTAGTGTGTAGTATGACGGAGAAAATGTCCCTATTGTATAATAAAGAACTGAGGTAAGTTTTCTTTGTAAAATTTTCACAGTGAACAGCGGTGAACAGACATGCCTGCTCTACAAATCAAAGAGTGTACATGGTATGCTTTAACTGTAGCATGCCTGCAAGCACGCTCTAGCTAGCGCATGCCTGCCAAGCATGCACTAACTAGTGCATACATGCCATGTACACGCTAACTGAAGCATACATTTACTGCATAAGGGATAGGGAGTTTTCTGCATCAGGAAGCGTGTACATGGCATGTATGCACTAGTTAGTGCATGCTTGGCAGGCATGCGCTAGCTAGAGCGTGCTTGCAGGCATGCTCTAGTTAGAGCATACTATGTACACTCTCTGATTTGAAGAGTGTGGTAGCTCTCTACTCGGCGTGCCAAACTATCCATGAACTCGACAAAGTCAATGACCCATCACTGCGAATGAAAAAGTCACCACCATCACCCTTCAAATGGGTGATGCAAGTGTCTACCGGTGTGCTCGACGCATAGCCTAGATGGACAAGTACGTTGACAAATTTGGAGCTCACCTTGTCAGTGAAGCTGGTGCACCGCGTCAGGAACTCATGGACCGCGTGGTTCGTCGTGGTCACCACCAGGATGGGACCCTTCAGCAGCCCAGCACGCTCGTTTTTCAGCGCCACCAAGTACTGCGCTATCTGGAACAACAAGGAGGTTCAAATAGTAGGTAAATCCAAGGGGCAAATCACTTCGCGTTTATGGCCATGGCCACCTCTTTGAACAAATCACGCTGTCTAAACTTCTTCCGGACAGCATGTACCCCCTCGAAACGGGTTCAAAGTAGCAATTGACGCTATAGCTCAAAGCGTTTCTAACGAGACACATGAACGAGACCGAGGGGGTAAACACTTGCGTAATACCCTGAACACAAAAGTCGGGTATTACGCCGTAATACACGTACTACCCTAGGAACACAGACTTGTCGATCGACAGTCGAAATTGTATCGGCACGTCGATAGCCGATAACGTTATTTCGCTTGTCGAGCGACTGTCGTCGCACTGTCGCTCGGTCGACATTTGGTGACTCGATGTCGCCATTCTATCGGCCGGCCGATAACGCGCTCTCGACAACGCTGCGATAGTCGGTCGAAGACGAACGGCCGTTGTCGAGGAATTATCGGGGCCGATGCCAGTGCGATGTGAAAATTTCGACTATCGCGCTCCCGACAACCCTACGATAACGACTGGATGGCAACTGGCCGTTGTCGAGAAGCTGTCGAACTTGATGTTGTCACGATACGGAAAATCTCAGGAAACTCCGACCATCGCGCTTCCGACAACCAAGCGATAACGAATCGGTGGCGACCGGCCGTGGTCGTGGAGGAGGAGTCCTTACCTCAAAAGAGTTGATCCCCGCCCCCTACCTACACTTCCAAGAAGGGTTTTCCCGCTTGCTCACGGCGCTGGCAGGCCTTCAACCTTCCATGCAGCGACAAACAGGCAGTGGGTTTTCCAGTTTCCGCGAATTGATGTTCCCGGCACTGCTCGGCCTGTAGGCCAGCTGGGAAACCGCCGCGACCCCAGGCGACCCCAGCTACATCGCCGCGACACCACAATTTTTTTTCGCGACTCCAAAGTCGAGAACCGCTGCGCTAGGAAGCGAGGGAGTTGATTATACTCAACGTTCTAAGAGACAGGGGTACTCGGACGCTTCTCGGGGACTTCGTGAGTGGTCCGCGCCACGTAGGGCAGATGGTGAAGCCTGTCCGCTCAGCGTAAAACAAAAAGTTGCGGAATCCTCACAAGCCGCCGGCGCTACGGTGCAAGCGCTCCAAAGACGCGTGAAAATTCTAAGTCCCGATGTTGGCGTGGCTTGCGTTGGTGCGGCGCCGTACCCCCCTCCACCGCGCGCAGCAGCCGCACGTAGAGAGCCGCTACCCCCCCCCCTGCGCGCCAGCAGCTCGCTGCGGCGCGCTCGGGGCAGGTGCTCGGAGCCGCGCAGCCGTCGTCCTCAACAAGTCCGGTAGTCTCGGGGTAAGCGTCCGCGCTACGATGCTACGGGACCGTGGTTCAACTCCTACCGGCGGCGGGCGCTGAAGCGTCCTTCCGGCGAGGCAAGCGGGTGCTAAGAAATTCGGAACACTCGGATCATCGACATCACTCAAGCATTTAATTTTTTTTTTTTTTTTTTTTTTTGGGGGGGGGGGGGGGGGGGTGTTTGACTGCCGAGTTTGTGATGTCGAGATGTCATCGGATTCCGATGTCGAAAAATCATCGGCGCCGACTGTCGTCCGACCTCGGAAGTTGGGCCATTTCGATGACGGAGAAACGTCGGGGCCGACAGTCGATCGACAATTTTAAGTCGAGGCACCGACAGTCGACCGACAATCTGTCGACTGATCTGTGCTACTAGGGTAATAGTAATACATTTTGGGATCAAAAGTATCAAAAAATGTCATTTTTCAATAAAATCGGGGCGTAATACTTGCGTAATACAAGTGTAATACCTAGTTATAGGGAGTAGTCTGTAGAAGGTTCACCGAAGTGTTTACCCCCTCGAACGAAACTCAGTGAAACAACATTTCGGCAGCCACGTTCCTCTCACCTTGCATCCCAGGTACGTCTTCCCCGTGCCCGGCGGGCCTTGCACCAGGGCCACCTTGTTCCTGAGGACGTGCTTCAAGGCCACTACCTGCGACGGGTTCAGCTCGGCTGCGAGCTGCTTCAGGAGAGCGCCCGACCTTCCCACTGCCATCAACTGCCCAACAGAAAGCAATGCAATTGTTACAATTTGGGCGAGAAAAGTCTTTGAGCGTTTATTCGTCCGTAGAATTTCTGCTTTTGCGCTGCCTGGAATGGAGACAAATTATCGAACCACAAGGTCACATGCTGTACTACATCACTATCTTCTCAGAACACACCCACAAACGCACACTTGAAGGTGATACACACTTGCAAATGCTTAGCCAAGGACACTCTTACAAATGCATGCTTGGCCTCGCAATTTCATACCAAGCATTTATGCACTTGTGAGTGTTTACTTGACCCAGCATGCATTAGGAAGTAGTTGGTGTAGGGATTTAAAGCCTGGTAAACTTACCGGTAAGAATGGGTACACGGTAAAAACGGTACCTGGTTTTCCCAGGAAGCCTATGGTAGAGACATAGGCGATTTCCAGGGAGTTCCTGGGAAAACCAGGAACCGTTTTTACCGTGTAAAATACCGGTAATTTACGGTAATTAACCCTGCGAAAATCGGTAAATTACGGTAATTTTCGACTTAACCTAACCTTCCTGATGTTTTTACAGCAGAAATTTACTCAGAGTGCACAAAGGCATGAATATTTGGCAATAAAAGTGTCTCAACCACTTTCATATGCCTTTTAAAACACTCCGCTAGTCTAAAATTCCCTTTGAAAACAAATTATTAACAGTTCACATGCAAAAGTGCACATAAACATATGATCGAATTTTTCCGTTATTTACCGTTAATTACGGTAAATTACCAATGTTACCGTAATTTACCGTCCAGATTGAAAATTACCGGTAATTTTAAAACCCTAAGTTGGTGGGCAGTTAGATGAGTAGTGTAGACGAAATTGTACTCGTGCATTAAGAACGGACACGGACCTTAAATGTGAGCGATAATTTTTCACAAAGTGCAAGGATCTCGCTTACCTTCTTCTCCTTCAAATACGTGTAGTACTTCGGTGGTCGTGACGGCAGTTGGGCCCTGACCATTTCCTGCACGAAGCCCGCCTGTGAGAGCTTCTTCAGGTCTCCGCGCAGGGCGTTTGTCACGTGCAAGTAGGGAAAGTAGAACTGGTCCGACTCGATCAAGGAGAACGTCCGCCCCACGAAAGAGCCCTGCACGAAAAGAACATATTTAAAACACACAAAGCACCGTACACTGCCGAGCTATCGCAAATTCCAGCTCCATTAGCCAGAAGGTGACATCAATTGTGGTTCCCATATTTAAGCTTGAGTACTTGTAAGATTGTACCTAAATTAGGAACACATTTGTGTGTCACTGTAACGTAGCTCGAATTTCATTGAAAGACATTGAAAGTGTACATTAAAATGTCAACAAGTTATTGATTGAAAATTAACAATCCGCGGTGAATGCAACCGGACGGACTTGACAGACGAGTCCGAGAATGCACGCACCTGGTCCAGCAGCTTGAACTCGCCGTGCTTGTTGACGCCGCGGACCAACTTGAGCTGCACGCGGCCCTCGCGCAGCATGAGCGGCTTGCTCTCCAGCACCACGCCGACGATGAAGTGCGACAGGGCCTCCAGGTCCGTGGTCAGCAGCACCAGGTTGCCAGTGAGGAAGCGCTGGCCGTCCTCCCAGCGCACGTTCTCGTAGCGCGACGCGTCGAAGCTCATCTCGATGCCGGCCTGCAACAGCAGCAGCCTGGTTAGGGATGTGTGAATCAAGGATTTTCATTTCGAATCGAATTGAATCTTTAAAAAAGTTTCGAATCGAACTCGAATCGAATCTGGAAAAAGTTGCCGAATCGAACTTTTAATGATTCAAAATCGAATGGAATCCAAACTCTGAAACTAAAAAAAAAAATTAGTGAGTTTCAAAACACATTTTCTGTAATATAGGTAGGGCATAGAGCAGGAACACAAAAACGAAAAAAAACAAATATCTGATCTTGCTTTGGTATAAAACAACGCTATGCGCGCGATTTTCAACCGTTCCCAAGCAACCGATTCAAAGACGAACCACTGTCGATTACAACACAATGTGACCAACAAAAATGTGGTTTAAAAAAATCGAAGACTTGACGGAAGTCTTTTCGTACTACTATTCAACCGATTCAGCAGAAAACAGCACCGAGGGCCAAAACGTGTTTGTAATATAATTAGATGTGTTGCTATCAAACTTCACAACAAAAGTGTTGTAAAATTACATCTTTGTAAACAGTGCAGGGGCTAGATTTTCGATCATCACCACTCAAAGGTATGGCAAATATTATGATCAAGCGGAAATCACTGTGAATTTCGGTGTCCAATCCAATGAATTTCAGTCAAAATTCGACGAGTTTCAGTCAAATTTCGATGAATTTCAGTCAAATTTCAAGGAATTTTAATTAATTTTAGTGAGTTCTACAAGTTGGATGAATTTCGGTGTACATCACACTAAATTCTTATGGACTTTTTTATGCATAGTTATGCATGCACAGATACGTCCATATGTTATGTACAAAATTATGCATCACTGTGCACATTTTATGCAGGAAGGTGCATAAAATGTACACAATGATGCATAATTTTATTCATACCTTATGGACGTTTCAGCGCATGCATAACTATGCATAAATTATGCGTCATTATGCATTTAAAAAGTCCATAAAAATTTAGTGTGCAAATTTGGCTGGAGTCATTTCTTCTTGATTATGATCCTAGAGGAGCTTGATTTACCGCCTCTGAGTTTAGGTGAGTTACCTGGCGACGGCTCTCCTTCTTCAAGACGACGCGCGTGCCCCTGACGGTGTAGGCCACGGCGTGGCGGCGTTGGGCGCGAATCTCGTCCAGCTGGTCGCGCAGTGCGCGCAGGAAGTCCTCGCACAGCAGGTCGATGTGCGTCCGCACCAGGTCCCCCTCGCTGGGGTACGGGCCGCGCATCTCGATCGCCCTCAGCGCCACGCGCGGTCTGTCCCCACTCAGGTCCGCCGCCGTCGGGAACAGGGGGCTGGCTGCAGCACATCACGTGACGCGTCGGACGTTACACACACTCATTCCAGAAACGTGACATCACGTTCAAACCCAAATGTGGCTCAGTGTCACGTTCCTTTTAACATTCTATCACAATTCGTTTCAATGTGAATTCAGCTACTTTATGGCAGGTTCACATCCAAAGGAATATGACAGAATGGTCAAGGGAGTGCACATGCGACATTTCGTTACATTCGTTTCAACGTGATGTCACCTGGGGTGAGTAGGTTTACACTAGAAAAATAAAACTTCAACCGCCGAGGGTGTATGCACTCCTGAAAATTTGTGGGGAATTAGGCGAACTATAACCAATGAAAAGTGATCCATTTATCAGGCAGGGACTGGATTTAAAGTTCCAAGGAGCAGAGTAGTTGAATCCTCATTTGGAACTACTGCACAGAGCGAAGTACTACGCGTTTCGTCTTCCCCAGCCTACCCCTACAACTACCTTACCCTAAAACTGCGAAAGGGTACCGTTATAGAATTACGTCATGAAAAATAATAACGGAACAGAATGTAACGTAATTTTTAAGCAGCCCCTGAACATTCTTAGGTTGCATGCAGAAAGCTATCGTCACTTCTTTTACAGGCAACACTCTCAGCCTTTTACTCCATTAGCAGACACAATTCTGTCAGCAACCATAATACTTCGTACTTTTTGTCTTAGCAAATACTAATAACTTAACTGGTATTATCGATTTCTTAGGAAATTACAAAAACGAATTGTAGTATTTATAAGACCGACATACTATGTATCATGGTTGCGTACAGAAACTCGTCTGCTAAAGAGAAATACTCAGTTAACGGCTGAGTGCACTCTAAATTCTTATGCATCACATCAATATAAACAAGTTGCCATTCCGTTGCTCAAATTTCTTCGCCCACCACTGCCAAAGTTAGAGGAAAAATTTTGAGTGTACTCACTGTGAACTGCCATTGCCGTATGCCGCACAGCAGACGTTCGAGATCTCTTCGGGACAACTTGCTTGGGTCAGCCTCGGACCCTAGGCTGGAATTCTGTGTACAAACGTTGAATCAAAGCTTTGGGATTCCGACAGTCACGCCGTCAGCGAACCCCAATCAAAGTGGAGATCCAACACTGGTAAAACAAAAGCGTAGTTGTACGCTTCATTCAAGCGTACAACTACGCTTCAAGACTGTACGCCCTTCTTGAAGCGTACAACTACGCTTCAAGGCAGTTCCCCCCATGCATTTAGATAGGAGGAAAGGAGCGCATGAACTCTTGTACGCTTGAAGAAGGGCGTAATACTACGCCTTAGTTTTACCAGTGAAGTCCCACGGCTACGCTTCACACAGAGAGAAGTCAACGAAGCATCCCTTCACGAATGTCTTGGGAAGAAACTTCCCGTATCACTGTGAGAAAAAGGAGCGGTTTTCGCCGTTAAGTTATTAACGGGATTTGCCGTACCTAGAAGTACGTACCTGGGAGTACGGCGTTTATCTTGGTTGGTACACTGCATTGTTAAGATTAGGCCATGGATTCCCTTCCAAGTTAGAGTAAGTTTTTTAAATCGTCCAGATCGACTTTGCTTTAAAGAAATGGGTGTCTCTCAGCTAACGCACTGCCCGAAGAACGATAATTATCGTACTTTTAAAAGCTGCACGTGTAGGTACGGTAAATACCGTACTTACAAGTACCGCAAATCCCGTTAAAAATTAGCGGCAAAAACCGTCCGTTTTTCTCACTAGGTATGTCGAATAAAATGGCCCATAACGCGGGGAAAATAGCGCTAGCAATGTTCGAGGGTGGTTTTAATTTGTTTAACGAAGGGTGCCCTTCGTATCCTACGTTGAAAATAAACACAAGACCTTGGTACGGAAAATATTGCTGCGTATTATGCTTGCGCCGCATTCACTGTAACATGGTTCAAATTTCATTGATAGACATTTAGAGTGAACTAAAACGAAGGCGATGTTTAACCCCGAAAGGAAATGCCGTGTAATTTGAAGCACTGCTTCGTGGTATAACGCAATTCTAGAATGCTTTCGTTTTCTTCTTCGCGGCGAAGCAGATGCTCCCAAGACTTTTTCGGGTGCACACTGCAAAAAAAACTAGAGTCTGATACGGAGCATTCTACGGCGTTGCGTTTACCCCCTGAAATTGTGGTACGGACGTCGGCCGCACCACTTCTCCAAGAATTTCCTGTGTTTTGGCAAGCGTGGTACGGAAAATTAACGGAAAATGTACGGCTAATTTTAGACCGGAGTTTGCCGTTTGGGTTTTCCGTTTGTGAAATAGTCCAAAATGTTAACTGACCGTGAGAAACGGACGCTCCGCAACTCAAAGCTCTGTACCGGATAACGTGTAACGACCAGTCCAAGCCTGTTTCTTGCGTTTTGTCCCAAAATTTGGAGTTACGGATGGTCCGCTCCTCACGGTCCGAAAACCAATATGGACTATTTCTCAAACGGAAAACCCAAACGGCAAACTCCGGTCTAAGCTTGGCGGTAGATTTTCCGTTAAATTTCCGTACCACGCTTTTCAAAGCGCAGGCACTAATGGGATAAGTGGTACGGCAGATGTCCGTATCATCATTTCGGGGGGTAAACGCAACGCCGTTACATGCTCCGTATCAGACACTGATTTTTTGCAGTGCGCAAGAGCTTCTCGCACATCACATTCCAGCCGTAATATTGATCACTGGAATGAGAAAATCCCATTGAATGGACACCCTCGTGACATACGAGTTCTCCCTGTGCCATGCACAATGTTTGCTTATTCGTAAGAAAACCTCACGCGAGAATTTCAGTTAATATATAAACGAAGGAGACAACTGAGAGATCAACTTCTGTCTCCCCACCTCAGGGCGAAGTACTTATGTCAATAACTTTGACCCTCCCCCCTTTTATTTACAGCGAGTGACTGGCAGGGATGATAATCATAACGAAATATTACCAGGGCAGTTACGACAACACCTTGCATTTATGACTACAAGTCAACTCAAAGACCGTAGCTGCTAGAGCAAAAGGAAAAGCTTTTCCTTTGAGATCGAAGGGCACCGGAGTTTCATTCGTTTTATTCCAAAAGAGACTTGGCACATTATGTTACTGACATAAACAAAACTCAAGGAAGCGGAACTTTTGACTTCGGTAGGCTTCATAACTCCGGTATGCCTTGATCACCAAGGAAAAGCTTTTCCCGTGGTTTTAGCTGCTACGGTTTATTGGTTTTACTCTGAAATGCAAACTGTTATCGTATCGGCCCTGGCATTGTGTCGTTTTAGGCAACATCCAAGACTGGAAAGGGGGTGCAGAATAGGGTTCAGACAAATGATGTCTCACACTTGCAAGCGTGGGACAAACGTGGCTCACACTTGTAAGCGTGGAACATAGTGGTTCGCACTAAATAGTGTGAGACTTTCTCTTACTTGGATTGGAAGTGTTTCGGCCAAATTGTCGGGAGGCGATGGAGAGCCGACTGACACCTAGGCGGCGGTCTCTGCTGCAGCAGTCGCAGCCCCGCCACACTGAGAAACAGGTATGGGTTTTGTCGTTAATTCATTTAAGGGATTTGCCATTCTTGGAAGTACGGTGTTAACCTTACCTGTAAGTACGGCGTTTGCCGTTCCTGTAACTACACTGTCAGAAATAAAATCTGTTAATTTACGGAGAAAGTTGCTCTAATTTTGGAAATGGAGACTCCGTAAATATTCCATATTTGTACGGATAGCGATTCTACTTATTTTTCAGAGGTGTTTTCTCTGTAAATTGTCCATATTGCTGTTACGGAGATTTTCCGCATTTTTATGGAGATGAAACTTTTTCCAGAGGTTTTCCTCCTTTGCGTCCTGATCCAGGGTGCGCTGAGCGCGCGTGAGTGAGCTTCGTGAGACACTTGGCGACCTGCCTTCAGGTCCGCTCCCCACGTTGTGATATGACTTGCACCTGCTGATCAGTAAAACTAATTTCACCGCTTCTTTTAATAAGTGAACACGTTAACAATATATATTCTGTGCTGTGATAGTTTGCAAGAAAAACAAAAGTTTTTTGGTCGTATGAAGTGATTGATTTATCATTTATTTCAAAACATTTTGAACATGCCTTTTGGTACACCGTTTACCCTTCCCTTTTTTATATCAACGCTTTAACTTTTTTAATCATAATGAGAACTTTCGTACTTTTAAATTTAAAACATGAAAAGGGAAAAAAATCAACTACTTTTGTGTCTTGTTTATATTTATTAATTACACACAAAATCTATGTGTGTACTCAGTACACACTTCTAGGTGCGTGCTTACAAGCATAACCTTGAGGTGTGTCCTTGCCTAAACACGCACCTAGAAGTGTGTACTTGAATGAGTACACACTTGCGAGGTGCATGCGCGACATAGGGAAAACGCATGCACTTATATGTGTGTACTCACTGAGTACACACTTTAAAGTGCATACCCATTCAAGTACACACTTCTAGGTGCGTGCTTAGGCAAGTAGGGTAAGGTGCCCAGTGATGGCCACTTTTAGCGCACAGATGCGCCTTTCACCCGCTTGCGAAGTCTCTCAATTGTCGTACCGTTTGGGCTATTTTCAGGAGCATAAAAGAAGGATAGAGTAAAGGTTCTCCAGTTTGAAAAGGAGCAAAATTTAGCTCTGTCTTTGCGAAAATAGTAACCAAAATATCAGTGCAGTTTGCCCAGTGTCGGCCACCTTTTGCTTAGTGATGGCCTGTGCCCTGCTCGGTGATGGCTACTTTAGGTTTTGAGAGGGGACTAGCTCTGTGCTTCCGTTTTTGACAGTAATCAGGTAGAAATAAAGTAAAAATTCCAAATCTGCGAAAGAAACGCTGCGATTACTGATTTCATCTCAGCTTTACGAAATGAACAAAACATGTCAACGCAGCATTCGTTGCGCTGAGCCCGTGCGGCCACCCGCGACAGTAACGAGACGAAATTTTTGCGGTGTTGTGTTACTCATAGGCGAGCTCTGAGAATGAAAGAGTCATGATCATGACTAAAATTTTGGGTGAGGAATTCTTTATTACCCAAATTTGGGTGAGGAAATTTTCCTCGCCCAAATTTGGGTGAGGAAAGTTTTCTCACCCAAATTTGGGTCATAATACTATGGAGCTATATAGGGAGCTGATACACCTTCCTCACCCAAAATTGGGCGAGGAAGCTTTCCTCACCCAAATTGGGCGAGGAAACATTCCTCGCCCAAATTTGGGCGAGAAAGTAAACCTCGCCCAAAATTGGGTATTGATCATGACTTTTTCATTCTCAGTGAGGGTACAAAACCCCAAAAGCTCGTCAGTTTCACTTCTCCCGCGTGGACGAGAAGTCAGCGCAAAGTCTAAAGTGGCCATCACTGGTACCATGGCCATCACTGGGCACCTTACCCTACACACCTCAAAGTGCATGCTTGTAAGCACGCACCTAGAAGTGTGTACTGAGTACACACATAGATTTTGTGTGTAATTATACATGTACTGATCGTCTTTGTCACGGAGTTGGAGTTGCGGGTAGCTGGGGGTTACAAATCTTGACGTGGAAAGTTAGGCTGGGTTCTTCTTCTCTTTACTACCCTCTTGAAGCCGGACAAATACAGGGGGACAAACAATTGAAAGAAAGGGGAAACAACAAGATGTGCAATCAGTGGAGATTATAATTCACAAGTTTGAAATACAATACATCAGGAAAGAAAATATTGAGAGAATATCAGCAGTCATCAATTCAAAGGCAAGTTGCAAGATTTTTATAATTTACTAAGTATTTACTATGCATGAAAATTACTGGACTCCATCAACAATTTTTTTTAAAGGCAAACTTAAGAAGAAACAAGCAGAATTGAAATTTACAGAGATAATGTAAACAAGTTCATGTAAACAAGTAAATAATATTGACCAAAATTACTGAAGAATTAAAGTTTAAGTCAACAGAACTTTGACCATATTTATCATGAATTTAAGAAATAAGAAAGTACTTATTACAATAGAAATAAAGAATTTACAAACATCAACAAGTTCAATAAACACTATAAGCAATCCAAACAATCAATCCTGAAATTATAAACAACAACAAACACATAGCATAACACTGACAAAAGTACAGAGCACAAAGAAAACCCAAATAAACAATTTAATGTTGCAAAACGTTGGAACAGGGGCGTCCCCCAGAAAATTACCACTAGCAAATAAATTACATCCAATAAAGTACTCAAGTGTCACTAAATCTAATAATACTACTGCATAAAGCGCAGAAAAATTTACAAGTCATAGCATAATACATTAAATGCAACAAATATAGAGGAGTGAAATAAAACCAAACTCTATAGCAAAACTGGAGAGTTTGCAATAATACAAGATAATAATTAATTAAGATTATCAACAACTAAGAGACTTTTGCAGAGTACTGGATGAATAAATAAACTATACACTCTCAAAAACACGAGAGAAAAATAATCACAAACTCGGACAAAAATCACGAGTAGATAAAAAAACGGCAGTTACTTATACACAAACTAAGATACCATCCACCTGGGCCCAGAGTGAGAGAGAAATCAAATCAAAGAGTGCACTCACCAATATCAATTACCAAACAGGGTCATGGTAACGTTCCAGAAGGATAAGTATGTTCAGGGGCGCCTCCCAAAAACACACACACTCACATAATTCACAAATCAAGAAACAAGGCGTAAAAACGTCCAAGGCAGGAAGGAATTTCACATTCACATCGTTTCACTTCACTTCACAGCGGCGCACCGCGGCACAATCACTGGCACTACGTCACAGCAGACGCACGGGTTGACCGGCGGCCGGGAGACGTGACGTCACGTTGATGACGCCGCATAGGAGGTGGGGCAAGGGGAGCAGGCCCACTCGGGACGACAGCAACGACGGCGTTCTTCGACATGGCGACACGTGGCGTGACAGCGGAAAGACAGCGAGGACACGAGGCAAGGCTAGGCGGATGGTTTAGCCCATGATGGAGGCTGGACTAGGCCCGTAACTTGAAGCCCTTGCGGGCGATGAAAGGTCGCGTGGAATCATGTTGTAGAACGGCGGATAACCCAGGGGTGGCAACGCCCTTCATCTTTCTTGATGCCATGTTCGACCCCCCCTTGCACAATATTTTACTTCGACGAGATCCAAAGTACTAAGTCCAGTAGAGCTAAGCTGTTTTGTTATTACGATAATATATGAATTGAGTAAGTGTTTAGGCCAGGTTTCAACTCAAAGGCTTAAAAACTTTACAAGATTAACGTTTTGAAAATATAAGTGGGCACTTTTCTTGAGGCGTTTTTAGCAAAACCCCATTTTTCTCTTGTTTTTGCGATGCGGTTTCGAGCGATGAATTGATCTTAAGTGTGCTCACGTTTTGTTATTACGTTAGTATTACCTTTTAACTTGATGCCGCACTCAAGTTTCAAGGGATTCCTTTGCAGGGCTCAAAGAGTATCTCTTTGAAAAGTACCATGATTTAAGGGGAGGGGGGGGGGGCGAACATGGCGTCAGAATACGTGTACAGCGTTGCCACCCTCTGGATAAACGCAAGATGCGTACTTGAAGACACAAACTTTGCACACACGCCGAGCGCCGAACACGTGTTGGCTTCCGCCGCTGAGCGGCAGCGCGTCGTTCCGCTCCGTCCGTCGGCTGACCGTTCACTGGCTGACTGCGCTAGCCGGGCACGTTCTCTCTCTCTCTCTCGCACACCTGCCGACAGGCAGCGCCACTGTGCCGCTTCGCACGCAGCGACCGAAGTTTGACCGGCCGCAGGGGAGAGAACCGGAGGTGGCGGATGGTGTGCCTACCTTCACGGCGCTTTGTCTCGCATCGCGCGACATCTTCAATAGCAATCTTCAATCAGTTAAGGACATGTTCTTGGATCTGCGCCGATGCACTGCAAATCCAAAGGCAATACTTGAGTATTTTTTTTTTGGCAATTCAAACGAGTGCAACCACTGTGGGAAAAAATCACAGTAAATCCTGTAGTGATTAGTACAGCTGTCACTGTAGTTTAGAGTACAGGATTTACTGTACTTTTTTAACAGGATCTACTGTACCTTGTACGGGATTTACTGTACCACAGGAGTGAAGTACGGAATATCCTGTAGCAGGTACAGTAGATACTGTAGCCAGGCACGGTAAATCCTGTGTTCTGAACTACAGTAAATCCCGGCAAAAAAATTAACGGGATTCACTGTGATTTTTTCGCACAGTGACGTTCAATTTTATTTCTTCAGCAAAGTTGATTATAAAAAAGGATCTTCAGAAAAGAACTTACCTCTTTTATAAGCTGCAGTCACATATAAGACAAATATTCCCTAATATCGGGGTCCACAATATTGCAGGTTTTTATGCTTCCAGTTCTTCCACGCAAAGCCAGTCGCCCTTGGAAAGCTCCGTCAGTGATGCACAAGTGCAACTTTTCTAGTAATCTAGCTCTGCCCAGAGCCACATAAAATTTTCCATGGTCCCAAATGGGCACAGGAAGATAAACTCCAGCACTCTCCAGGGTCTGGCTCTGTGCTTTGTCAATTGTAATCCCATAGGCTAAGCGAAGAGGAATCTGGTGTCTTACTACTATTGCATGTTTTTCGACATCAGAATCGGATAATCTTAGCCTTGGTATCACGGCAAGTTCACCAACGGAACGCCCAGTAAGTATTCGCACGGTCACAGTGAAAGTGCCTAATGCAACAACCTTAC